TCATTTTGTTGCAAAAAGTGTCTTCTATTCGAATTCATCGCCAGAAAATCATTACTATTTATATTTCGCATATCCTAGCTAAATTACTAAGCCAAGATGCAGTTTTCAAGCCATTTTGGCTTGTGCAATAAAATCTAATTTTATTTTCAAATATAAACTGTTTTTCAGACCTTTTTTTACGGAAATGTTCAGCAGGAAATTCTCTATCTGTATATATCACTTTCAATCAAAACTGAAGTTCTCGTAATGTAAAAAGGACGAAATTATGATATTGATTCTATAATTTTTCACAGGCAAAAATGGACCGATATCAAAAAATGCTTGTTTTCTCAAAGTTAAGTAGTAGTATTGAGGAATCTAATTTCATTCTTGGATAGAGCATAATTGAACACATATACTTACATGGACTTCGTTTCCTTTGAAAGTCTTAACTGGCAGAGAACGAGCAAATAACTGGACTCAAACAGGTGATTCTATAATTTTTCACAACACTGTATTTTTGTACTAGTTAAGTTATCTCATTAACTTATCTAAATGGATAAGTGTGTACATGGAATAGAATTCACATCGATCATGATATTGTTGTTTTTATGACGGAAACATTTCAGGTAATTACAATTAAGAATCATGTAAGTCTTCTCTAGATAAAACTCTATGCATAAACTCGTGTAAATATAGTTGCAAGTATTCTAAATAATATTTTCATGAAATTCTTATCAATTTAAAACCTACGTTGATAACAAAGTTATAACACAAATGATGAATAACTTTTCATTTGAATGGATACAAGAAAATATTATATAAAATCAAACATGACTGACGTTTAATTTAATCAAAATCATATATTCTTTTTTATCGGATGTAATGCGTATTAGTATCTGTTTAAATAGAAGTAGGTATTGTTCTTTTCTTCTTCTTTTTCTTGTTCGTTGAACTTTTACTAAAAACTGTCCAAACTTCTGCTGTTTGTAATATAATTATAAAAATATTTTTGAAAACAAGAAAATAACTTGAATAATCATGTTGTCTAACACCAATTATTGCATAAAGGCGTACTATTAAATGTGGAACATCCATAATTATCACACTTAATAATGAATATGTCATTATAGATGCTAAACGTTGATAATTATATTTTAATAATATATCTTTTATGGTAGACATATTTGCAACATATTGAAAACAACTAATAGACCAAACAGTAAGAGTAACATAGACAAAAGCACGATTAGAATATAATGGTTGATGACTAAGAAGATCAATAAAATCAAGACTATCTAGTGCACTTGCCCATGTTTTAACTATAATATCTAATGTTTGACCTTTTTTGTCACATAAACCTTTCAACAGAGATATTAAAACTACATAACCTTGGATTTGAATTTGTGACCATAAATATTTCTTATATAAAAAGAATCTATTATCATTGGGAATAGCAGCATAATAGGTAACAGAAAAAATTTCTACACTTGCTTGTTGATTTTCAGTTGTAACTAAATAATTTATTCTATATAATTCAAGAAACCATATCGACGATATAATACAAACTGAATAAACAAATAATAAGATAAATGAATTTTGATGACGAAATTTTAACAAAAAAGTTATGATGATTTCCAAAATGATAATACCAATACCAATAATTGGAATAAAGAAAACATGACCAACATTTCTGGTTACAAGAAGAAAATATATAGAAAGACTTAGATGTGTTAAACAAAGTAGTCGAGCAGCAAACCATTGAATCAAGGTCTTTCTCTTCATTTTATTTTTATTCATCCTTCGAGTAAGTGTACCTGATCTTCATGAATAGAGGCATAATGAATATTAATATATACTTTTTTTCTATTCGTATAACGTCAAAATTATTTATAAACGGTAGAACGAAAAAAAAAGCCATCATTATGTACAGTATGATGCAAAAAAAAAATTACCGACTGACAAACGAATTTCCTTGAAGCATGTTTCTAGTTTTTAGAGCTTACGTTTGATGAATTCTGTCAAATATCAGTTGTCAACTGTATATATTAAAGTGAGGTTAGCATGTGCTCGAAAACTTTATTGACTATAATAAAAGTGGTGTCTTAGACAATTGACAGTCGTTGGCTAATGGATCGCTGAGGGACATTAAATTAAGGAAGTAAGAATAATTGTAACGTGGATGAAATTTCTCGCATAATAAAGGCTTCTTCCTGTACTGTTTGACATAAAAAACTTTTTAGAATCAAGGACTGATATTTTATGAAGCAGAAAATTAAGTAAAGCGATTCTTGAGTAATGAATGCATAAAAACTATCAACACGTCATAAATTAATGGAAGATTTAAGTGCATTGAAAATTTGTGACTATTATCCATTTCAAAATAAACGAAGGATGCCCACTTTTTAGAATTAGCTTTGATGAGAAAAAAATAGAGATCTTTGGTTTTTCCGGATCTACCATCAAGTTTATTAAAAATAAAATATTGTATGATGTAAAAGTTTTAGGATTTTGATTTTGAGGGGTGCACTAGAATGAGTAAATAAAGATCTATGAATTGTGTGAATTCGATATAATAGGGTTTAGCCAATCATGAGTTATGAACATTTTACTCGGTGTTATCGATAGATTTTTCGAAGAAACTTAACGAAAATCATTAAGAAAACTTGTCAAAAAAAACTCGGGTGTATATGACTCGACACAGTTTTATTTCCTCTTTTTTTTAGACGGCGGAAACTGCAAATTCCTATCTAGTTCCTATCAAAAATTCCACAAATACTCATAGTTCTTTAGTCATAGTTTTTGAAAGCAGGTACTAAATTGTTGTATCCGTGTGAAAAAAACATGTTTCTTTTTTATTTTTATTGATTCAAAAGGCAAATTTATGTTCTAATCAATATTGAAATGGTTTATATGTGTAACCTATTCATAACAGATTTTGTTCAACATTCTTCGTTTTCACTAAACATGGAATGGTGAAAACAATCGTTACATATCAGTAACCGTTTCCACGGTAACAGATTCTAATCTTTGTAACCTGTTTTCAACCAGTATTACGCGACATACACAAGTACTAGGCTAATATTGGCTGATACCGGTTCATACAGGTTTATACTAGGGGTGCACAGTTCACGTTCATCAACACGAGCTGTCTTCCTGACTCGAATAGGACAGGAAGGCTACCATTCTTATAGAGATTCACCAAAGGTAATCAAGATCAAGAAATCCGAATCTATAATCTGTTTTCATGAATTCTGTAAGAATGCGGTCATCATCAGCAACAAGAAATCATCTATAACCAAGAATCTACTTATGTTTTCGAGACTAGAATTAACGAACAACAAAATATGAATAGATCGATGAAATTCTTAAAGGTCGAGAATTTCGACACATTATATAAGAATTTAAATTAAACTTTTACATTTAGTTCTCTTCGAACAAGCATTATAAAAAATGGTAACCTCCCTGTCCTATTCAAGTCAGGAATTACTGCACACGCTGACGAACGTGGGCTGTACACTGGTAGTATAAAAATGTATGAGCCGATATACAATAGTGAGAATCGGTGACAATTCAGCGCTGCTTCTCCGTCACCATTGCATGTCTGAAGATTACGATCCCCTCAGTAACAAGAAGAAGCAGAAGAACACCCTTGTCTTTCGGCTACCTTTCAGTATAGGGTGCTGTCCAAGGACAGTTTCGAAGGCACGATATTTTTCCTACAACTATTACTAGTTGCAGCTCTGGACAGAAGGCCAGTCTGACGCAGAGTTCCTCGCGCTTAATTGCTTAAGCTTCCCATGCATACTGGCTAACCACATACAAGCCACAAGGGCTTTTTGTGTATGTCAACAACGTAGTCAGTGTGCTATCGAATGGGTGGGTGGTCCAAGACAAACAGCCGTTAGTGACTTGTCTAAGGTCATTCTATGTCTGATGACGTCGAGGTTCGAACA